GTGTGTGTGTGTGTGTGTGTGTGTGTGTGTGTGTGTGTGTGTGTGTGATTCATAATACAACCTGTTGACATTGTTTAGTGTTGCTCATACATGTTTAGAGCTGACCTCTTAGGTCCTTTTCTCTGGAAAAGACTGAGTTTCACCTCTTTAGTAACTTAATTCCCTGTAGATCTTCTGGGATTGAAGCCTATAAGATTTTCTTCATTCACATTGCCATGTGAATCTGGTGGTATCATTTCTTAGATATCATTTAGTAAGAAAAGTGAGTGTCAGGTGGGAAAGCAGCACTGAGGAGAAAACTGATAAAGAGTAATGGAATCTAAGTGACCTAAGTGACCTTACTTAAGTGACCCCAGTAGCAGTTTCCAAAACAAGTCCTTAAGTTCTAATGAACAAGACAGGTTATTATATCAGACATTTTTGGCCTTGCTAAGAACATTACAGTATAACAAAACAGTGCAGAGCCCAGAAGCAGAGAGGACTGAAGCACATGTTTCACTGTAGAAAGAAGAACCCTCCACTAAAACAGAAAATAGATAAGACTAAATTGTACAAAGCAGATAATTGCTGAATAGTATTTCTAGTAGCCACAACAAACAAACAAAAACAAAAACTGGATTGTCACTGTCTTCAGTCTGCACTCAGGTAAGCACAGACTTTCACTAGAAACCATGCTGCCTTATGGCAGGAGATAAAACTGAAGGTTGGGTTTGCCTTAATGATTGTCATTTTTTTTTCTGCAACTTAAAAACTTGTTCATGTTTCGTTAGAATGTAGTTAAGAGCTTGTTCATGTTTCATTACAATGTAGTTTCACAGCTGAGCTATATGTCTTACATCGTAATAGTTTCTCCTTACAAATTATTATATTTCTGGATTCTATTTCAAGCTTCAGCATCACTCTGAGCTTTTGCTTCATTTCTATTGATAACATACTGGTTTTCTTGAACAAAAATTAAGTTTTTAGACTGTACTGTTTTCATTTTTTGATTCAACATTATATTTAAAGTAAAAAGTATTGCTATTAAAATTTATAAATTGTGTAAAGCTATAGATATTTTTTTTAATTTTAGAATTTGATTTTATTCTTCCTGTAAAATTCTTGGCTCTATTTCTCTTTAAAGTAGTAAAGAAGGAAAGTTAGAATGAGAAGACAACATTTAGTATGAGTAAAATAAAGCTAATGACTGTATTCACATATTCATTCATGTGCGTCTGTTGTTACTGGTCATACTCACTTAAAATGCTGGTAGATTTTGACTGTTGTGCTGTTGCACAAATCTAGTTCCTTTCAGATGCTCCCCAGAGAGCGTAAGAACAGAGGTCTCTCTCCTAGCCGGGAAAGTGAAACACTTTATAAAGTTATAGTCATTTTTGCCCTGGCTTACCTCTCTTAGTCCTTCAACCACTCTCTTAACTGTTCTCCTGCCTCCCCAGAGTGTTAAAAGATGCTTCTCATACATGCCTGCTTCCCACATTCTGTTTTATCTCTTCATAAAACCGTTTCTGAATGAGGACCCACAGCACAGCGAGCTCCTCGGAGATCCTCTGTGCCCAGACTCTAAGGGATGTTTCCACAGCAAGTGCTCATCTGAGATGCGTGTAAGACTGATGCTTCATCGTGCTGGAATGTCCTTATTCTGGAACAGCTGCTTGGTTTTTGACAGTAAAATATGTTTTATTCTTATTTATTTGAACATACATGGGCATAATATTTTGGGCTATGTCATGTGTTATTAAGTCTGTGTAAATCGGCTTTATGAGTGATAACTTACAAAAGTGTAGAAGTAATCCCTGCAGTTAAGCACAGACTTCAACTATGAGTGTCAGATACAAATCTTCCCTATGAGAATGTAAGAATCAGCGAGCTGTAATCAATGAACAGGTCTCATTCTGATATCACTACTTGGCGAAGGAAGGTTTACGTCTTGGAGATGTCAGTAGTGTACTCCTTCACCAGCGGACTCTAAGATCTGAACTTGCGCCACCTTCCCTGATCATGTGATCTTGAGAGTGGCTGTGGCTGTGACAGAGACAGGAGATCACTGGCTTCCATTAATCTCTGCTCAGAAGCAAAGCCCTATTTCTTCTTAGGTTTCTTAACTGGAGTTATATTTTCCCAGCTTAACTCAGCAGAGACTGTGAGAGGATGTCTTTTGCATGCACAGACATCAGGAAAATGCCAAAACTTGACACACACACACTGCATTTTGTTGTCTCCTCCTCCAGTTTTCTTTAAAAGGGTACATGAATGCAAGGGGATGTTATGAAGCAAATGCTGCGTGACCAACTCAAGTGAGATGCATTAATTCTGTAGATATTTATTGAATTCTTGTCATAATGTACCATTTTAAGTGCTACGGTGTCTATAGACCCTGGCTTTTTGGGTTAATAGTAATTTGAAAATTGAAATCTAACAAAACACAGGGCTCATCAGAGCTCTGAAGCCTATCTCATAGCCCTCGCAAATCCCCACAACAGCATTGATCAGTTAGACGGTGGTCCTCACAGTTAGACCTGTGGTTTGTGACCCCTGAAAGACCACCGGAAAACACAGATACTTCCATTACTATTGAGAGTGGTAGCAAAATTACTGTTATGAAGTAGCAACAAAAATAAATTTATGGTAAGGGGCCACCACAGTATAAAGAACTGTATTAAAGAGCCCCAGTGTCAGGAAGGATGAAAACCACTGAGTTAGAGCATGGGGCCGTACTACTTCATAAAGAACAGGAAAAGCTGGGAAGATATTTCTGGCAGTTAAACTTGCTTCCTCAGTTTGAGTGGAAGAGGTCAGTTGGCTGCTGTAGAGAGGGACAGTGGAGGGTGAGAGGTGGAGACACATTTACTGATGAGTGCGCACTAAGGGGCCATTTGAACAAGCTCTCTTGCTTGTCTGTCCTGTGAAGGCTGCAGTGATCAGTGTGTTAAACTTCTCTTCTTACCGCTGTCCTGCAGAGATGGCAGTAATCTGATTTAAGACATTATGTATTTAAGTGTTTGGGTCATAGAGATTAATGACAGCACTACAAAACATTTCCCCAGCTTATTTTGTATTCTGGGTTTCCTTATTCTTTAAAATTATACAGCAAATAACTTTTTTTCCTTTTGATTGAAGCAATGTAGAAACAAGAGAGAGAATGAATAGACAAAAAAGGGCTATGTGTGTATGTGCCTACTCCACTGCCCAAGAGACAAAATAGCATCAGAGCTTGAAGCTGGGATTTTAGAGCCTTGCTTTCTCAGTTTATCAGCCTGAGTGGTCTTGGTGATATCACTGTATAGCTTGACTGCTCTTATGAGGATTTAAAAAAATTACCTCATCGAACACTGAACCATATATTCAGTTTAATTTTGCTTCTTAGTTCAGTCTCACAGTGATGATTTAAGTTGGACATCAATATTTAAGTAGAAATGAATAAAAATTAACACAGTCACTTCTCTTGATACTAGTGAAGTACAGTGAAAAAATGTTTCAAACTGTGGTATATTCCTATGTGTTTTGTTTAATACATAGTAATTTGACATTAAATATCCATTCCTTAAACAACTGATTCCTAGATTGTGTGAGGAGCTGAGGCACCTGCTGGATGATACAGGTTGGCCTGAAAAGCCACTTAGCAAATTTCTCCATTTAGACATAAACTCCTCTCCCAACACACTTGCTTTTCTGTAATTCTGAGACCTAAGTAGTATATTTGTACCTCTGAGAAGGTCAAATTTAAGTGTATACTACCTAAGAAATTACAGATTTTCAAAAAAATTTTTATTAGGATTTTTTATCTTTATTTAATGTACATTGGTGTTTTACCTGCATGTACATCTGTGTGACTTTGTCGTATCATCTGGAACTGGAGTTACAGACAGTTGTGAGCTGCCATGTGAGTGTTAGGAATTGAACCCAGGTCTTCTGGAGTAGCAGCCAATGCCCTTAACAGTTCAGCCCCAGAAATTACAGATTTTATGAAGTAAAATAATGTAGCATTTTTGGACCTTTATCTTTATCATAGAAATAATATTCTTTTTCTTTAACATAATAAAATACAATTATTTTATTCTCTTACTGAAAGAACTATATGCATGTTGATATTCTTACAAATCTCTCCTAATATGAAATCATATATTTTCTATATGATTACCATGCAAATAATCCTACCAGTGGGAGTGTGTTCTGTGGTAGGCAGGAATTCTGAAAGGGAAACTTTGTGTGTGTGTGTGTGTGTGTGTGTGTGTGTGTGTGTGTGTGTGTGTGCTTGCATGATGCCTGTTCAGAGTTCAGAAGTCCAGGATCAAACTGAACGTGTATTCTATGAGCCTCAGTCCACCGTGTTTATTTTTTTAAACAGATCACAGTCCTAAATTACAAATCATGCTGTGCTATCCTTGGCTGGTGGTAGACTGTGATTATAGTGAGCCCAGGACTGGGCCCATTAGGAACTGGAGTAATGGTAGCTATTGTCAGTGATGCTATTAGGGACCAGTTTCTAGAAGTGCTTGATTATAGACAAGTCCATCCCTGCTTATCAATTATAGAATCCTTGATTGGTCATTTCACATCTTGCAGCAGATTTTCTTACCTCTAAAATAAGGTAGCATTTTCCTTAATTACATTCAAGGACAGTTGCGACATATACAGAAAATAAAATAATACTGTGTTCTGTCAACAAACAGTTTTAGCT